CTGGTAAAGGTTCCTCTTTAGGCCCCGCCTCCATCACATGGTTATTTCTGACTCATTCCAGGTAGCAGCTCACCTGGATCTCAGTCTCACAGATTACACATCAACCGTCTTCATCACTTTGGGAAGTTTAAATAAAATGTAAGTTATTTTTTTCTCTCATTGTTTAAGTTTGATATTAATGTTTTTTAAACTTTTTCCTGTGTGGTAGTTAGTGATGGTTAATGAGGCATCTTAAGCCAAACTGTGTTGATTCTGTCTCAGAATACTGACACCTGCTGGACATTTAAAGACGCTGCAGGCAGCTGATTGGAATGAACTGAATTGATTGGATGAACTAGTGCAACGATATCACTGAAGCCATTGTAGGTTATATTCTATTATTTCATATCTATGTTTAAATTGAAAATATCTTATATTTTTAAATGCAGCCAATAAATACTGTGAACATTTAGGGGAAAATGTGAATGAGGATGCTGCTGGAATAGGATTTTAAATCCTATTTTTAAAACAATAAGTAAAGCGAAAACAGTAAATAAACTAAGAGTGAATTTGAAAATGAACTTTAATTCAGATAAGTTGAGTGATAACTGAGAGGAAAAGGATGACACAACGTGAAAATTAAAATACAAATGCAGCCGATGAAAGGTTCGAAATTCTGGATAATTTTAATGATAAACCTCAAAAGATGAGACATATTTTTTAGCAGATGCATCATGTTGACAGATACGTTTTTAAACCCACTTTAGCCAGTTAGAACCAACGTCTGGATCGGTCACATGACTTTCTGAAAACTTTGGGACTTTCTGGACCCATCACCAATCTTTGGCCAAACTTATTTCAGCTCAAGCTTTCCATAGTTTTACGTTTAAATGAATGTTTGTTAATTAATAGCTGATGTTTACATATTTTCATCTTTAAATAAAATTCATTTTTATTTGTTATCAGCAAACTGTCACCTCCACTATTCAGGTCAAACAAAATAGATTCCTATTTCCTCCTTTGGTTTATCCCAAAATAAAAACTAGTTTAAAGTTAACTGTTGAATTTGAGGTTAATGAGGTTTTCTGCAGATTTAACTGATCAGGTGATTTTCCTTGTTTAGTTTGATGGTTGTGAAACACAGCAGCTCCACATGTTTAGTCTCCATTCTGCTTCATGTTGATATTTTAACTGCTTGTTATTGTGGAGATGCAACAGGAAACAGTTTGACTGGTTTATTTTTATAGTCTGTGAGCTACAGCTTGTTCAGTCTGACTTTCCAGTCAGACTGGATTTGCTAAATTCTTTAGACGGGGATTTTTCCATGCTGCTGTTAAAGATTCTCAGTCATTCCAAAAACAATCCACTGGACTTTGTTTCCAGGTTTGAAGGCATTTCTCTTCCATCCAGGAAGCGTTTTAAATTCAAAAAGTCAGGAGTAGAGTTGAGTTTTAGGTTTTATAGAGTGGACTAAATACAAAGTCTTGTTTTTCCTTAGAAAACCTCTAAATAGAAACGGACGAACGGGTCCACCCCTTTGGAATTGGGGTCCTTTGGGTTCTCTGTTAGCCTGCAATGCCCCATACCTGTGTATGTCTCTGAAAGGGTGCTCCTTTCCCATTACAAAGGGTTGGACTCGTTCTTCCGTTTCAATTTGAATGTTTTCTAAGCCAAAACAAGCCTTTGTTTTTTGGTCCACTTTAAAAAGCAGACGTCATGGATTAGCGGACCACGGTCCGAGTCCGGACCCACCTGCTGGCTTGATTCTCCACCATGAACAGAATCAACAATAAATCTGGATCCAGGCTCAAAATGAGCTCCTTGATATGTGCTTGAGAATGGCTTAGTCTCCGGTTAAACCCAGGTTTATGCATGCATAAAAACCTCATTTTATTTCAGTGTTAAATTCTGTTGAACGTAACAGATTATAATTAAAAATGTCTACGGACCTTTACTGGTTGATGATTGTCTTTATTCAGACCCCTCTGATTTTCAGTTGGTTAAACCTGATATAAAACCTGGAACTCAGCACTATTTCTGACATTTTGAATTGAAAAAGCTTCCTGGAAGAAAGAGAAACGTCTTCAAACTTGGAAACAAAGTCCAGTGGATTGTTTAACTCTTTTCAAATGTTTCAGTGCTGTTTATAAACTGAACTTCCAGGCAGTGTGTCTTATATAAGTTGTACCCAAACAAACATTTCTATGTATTCCTCCCAGCAGCTTATGTGAGCTGAAGTCAGCAGAGCATCATGCATCAGTTTGAGGCCAGAGAGGACCAGGCCCCTCCCTTCAGCACCGCTCTGTGTGGAAAAGCTGAGGACCAGAGCAAAGGTCAAAGGTCAGATCACCATCTCTAACTGGACTCTAAGTTTTACCCTGTGTTTACAATGAAAATAGTAAAAGAATATCTAATATCTAATCTATGTCTAAAAGATAACAGATGATAAAATAAATATTTAATAGTTTCCTGTTTACACAGCATGACTTATAATGTGAGTTAAATGATTGCTCTTTAATCTAAGACAGAGAATTCATTAATATTTTATTTATTTAAAAGGTTTTAAAGTTATTTTAGTACCTAAAAAACTTCTAAACATCAATCTAAAGATCCTTATATAAAACAGAGATATACTTTAAATATGTTCAAACTAAAGTTAACAGATTATCACTGAAGTAACTGGGCCAAACTGACTGACTTGTTAAATATCATCTAGATTTGTTGATTTAGTGAACTTACAGCTGAAATGCTCTGAAATCAGCCCAGGTTACTGCAGGTACCTGGACACCATGTGACCTCTGCCGGTCATCTCCTCACCTCCACAATCACCCTCATCAGTAACGGCTGATTGAAGCTCTTTAAAGCAGATCTAACTGGAATTTCTCCACATTTGGAAGCGTTTTACCGAAAGGAGATTTTTTGTGTTTTTATGCTGTTTTCTTTGCGCCGGACTGTAGCTGTGACAGGCAGCCCGGGCCACAGGCGGCTACGCTCTACCCCTTCTATTCATTCTAGCTCATCTGAATCGTTTATCTAGAGAGCGAGATCATCTGTGGTAGCGGCACTAGACATCTTCCATGCATGGGAGGAAAACTAGCAGCAGTTCAGCGGACAGGATGAATGAATGACGTCATACACGCGCCGCTTTGTTTTTAAAAAATATAAATATATAAAATATAACGGTGGATGACTGGGGGACAGTGATTGGCCTCCATGTTCTGAATGCTGGTGTTCCGTAAAGAATAAATGATGAACAGTTTAGTTTGTGCCTTCAAGTCGTTGCCCATAGGAAGACGTTACTGGATATAACCTAACGGAATATCTTCAGAACGNTATCTATCTATCTATCTATCTATCTATCTATCTATCTATCTATCTATCTATCTATCTATCTATCTATCTATCTATCTATCTATCTATCTAGACTCATATTGTTTCCTGTTATTGGTCTTCTTATATTTTTATTTTAAACAGAAAAGGAATAATTTTGATACAAAAATACAACAGCTAAGTATTATACTGGTTTAATATATACAATAAACCAGTATATATTATCATATATTTTCTATATACCACTAAAACATTTTCTCCCTCAGGATGTTACAGATAATCTGAATGTTTCTTTTCTCAGCTGTTTAAAACTTGCTGACTTTAAATGAACATAATGTCTCCCTCTGCTGGTCAGAGTCCCTCACTGCAACAATCACCCTCCCTAAATACAGACAATAAACTGGTTTATCAGCTTATTTTATTTCTCATCCATGTATTGAAGGTAGACTACAGAGTCTGAATGAAAGATCTTTGGGCCACAATGAAAAAAAGGAAATCTGTTATGTAAACAGACAAACAAAAATAAAGATATTTTATTTATCTTAGACGCTGCAGAGACCATCTACCTTATTATTAGCACTTAAAATCCAGCATTTCTGATGGTGAATGAGGATGGGTTTGTAAAACATAGTCTAGCAATTAATGGATCCTTGGATATTTCTACAGGTATAAAGCAGCATGTGTTTCCATCCAGACAGTGTCTCCATTAGAGAATAGTGGGAATATTAAAGCACAGAAACATTAAACTGCATCCAACAGATGGCAGATCTACTAACATCATCCTCAAGAAGAAGTTGATCGCCTCTGATGTTCTGTTTTCTCACTTTTAACAGTTTAACTGGCGTTTAAAGAAATGTTTGAAACAACGGAAGACAAATTCAGGCATGTTTCATCAAAACCAGACTGAGAGACCAGTTCCTGTAAAAAGGCCTTTCTGGGTTTCTTTCATAGTTTCTGAGCAACAGCAGTTAAAGGAATGCCAAACCGCAGTTGTTTTTCTGGTAAAGGTTCCTCTTTAGGCCCCGCCTCCATCACATGGTTATTTCTGACTCATTCCAGGTAGCAGCTCACCTGGATCTCAGTCTCACAGATTACACATCAACCGTCTTCATCACTTTGGGAAGTTTAAATAAAATGTAAGTTATTTTTTTCTCTCATTGTTTAAGTTTGATATTAATGTTTTTTAAACTTTTTCCTGTGTGGTAGTTAGTGATGGTTAATGAGGCATCTTAAGCCAAACTGTGTTGATTCTGTCTCAGAATACTGACACCTGCTGGACATTTAAAGACGCTGCAGGCAGCTGATTGGAATGAACTGAATTGATTGGATGAACTAGTGCAACGATATCACTGAAGCCATTGTAGGTTATATTCTATTATTTCATATCTATGTTTAAATTGAAAATATCTTATATTTTTAAATGCAGCCAATAAATACTGTGAACATTTAGGGGAAAATGTGAATGAGGATGCTGCTGGAATAGGATTTTAAATCCTATTTTTAAAACAATAAGTAAAGCGAAAACAGTAAATAAACTAAGAGTGAATTTGAAAATGAACTTTAATTCAGATAAGTTGAGTGATAACTGAGAGGAAAAGGATGACACAACGTGAAAATTAAAATACAAATGCAGCCGATGAAAGGTTCGAAATTCTGGATAATTTTAATGATAAACCTCAAAAGATGAGACATATTTTTTAGCAGATGCATCATGTTGACAGATACGTTTTTAAACCCACTTTAGCCAGTTAGAACCAACGTCTGGATCGGTCACATGACTTTCTGAAAACTTTGGGACTTTCTGGACCCATCACCAATCTTTGGCCAAACTTATTTCAGCTCAAGCTTTCCATAGTTTTACGTTTAAATGAATGTTTGTTAATTAATAGCTGATGTTTACATATTTTCATCTTTAAATAAAATTCATTTTTATTTGTTATCAGCAAACTGTCACCTCCACTATTCAGGTCAAACAAAATAGATTCCTATTTCCTCCTTTGGTTTATCCCAAAATAAAAACTAGTTTAAAGTTAACTGTTGAATTTGAGGTTAATGAGGTTTTCTGCAGATTTAACTGATCAGGTGATTTTCCTTGTTTAGTTTGATGGTTGTGAAACACAGCAGCTCCACATGTTTAGTCTCCATTCTGCTTCATGTTGATATTTTAACTGCTTGTTATTGTGGAGATGCAACAGGAAACAGTTTGACTGGTTTATTTTTATAGTCTGTGAGCTACAGCTTGTTCAGTCTGACTTTCCAGTCAGACTGGATTTGCTAAATTCTTTAGACGGGGATTTTTCCATGCTGCTGTTAAAGATTCTCAGTCATCCAAAAAAGTTAAAAATCAATCCACTGGACTTTGTTTCCAGGTTTGACGGAGTTTCTCTTCCCATCCAGGAAGCGTTTTAAATTCAAAAAGTCAGGAGTAGCGTTGAGTTTCAGGTTTTATAGAGTGGACTAAATACA